CTTTTCATCCACTTTGTCTTCTTCTCTTTCTTCCTTTCAAGCCTCATTTCTTCTTCTTCACAATTTAGATTAAAGGAGAAAACTTTGAGAGCCTAATTCATTGTTTAAGAAATCCAAGGTAAGACTTAAAGAGTTCTTTCTCTAAGCTTTCATTCAAGTGCTCTTTTACTAGAAATGGCAATGAAAAACCCATAATGGAGATTTAAGAGAGGCTTTAGAATTTTGGGTTCCTTAGCATCCTCATTTCGTTTCTAGAAGTTATGAGGTATATTACAACCTTATTGAACCTTTGGATGAGTTTGTAACTCGTTTTCCTTGATTTTCCTAGTAAGAGAAGTGGGAGAAAGCTCAAGGGGTCAAGGCAAAGGAAATGAGATTCTTGGGTGAGCTTGGGGTTGTTCTTGCAATTCTTAGGTGAAAGGTAACACATTTCTAACTATCACGTACTACTTGTAGTTCAAAATGTTAAGCTTTGATGTATGTTGTGTGTATGAGCCTTTGTGTGCACTTGGATGGTGGTATAAGACATGAAAGGGGTTTTGTTGTGTATCTTAAAGATATGAAGTGATAGGATAACACCTAAACGTTCATCTTGTCCCTAGAAACAATTATATGAAAGTTGGTGACTCCAATAGGCATGTCCCGATGAACTTGTAATTTTTTCTAGAAAAGATCGATCCCTTAAGGGAAAGGATTGATCCCTCAACTGAAAGGATCAATCCCAAACTCTCTATTGTGCAAAGGATCGATCCATTCGTTTTGTCCGATGGAAAAAGGTGTAATTTCATTCAGTAGAGGTGTAAAGTGTTATGAAATGTTGTCTTAGTCTTAGCATGTTTGAATGAGTTCAATTTGGTCCATTAATTGATTTACCCAATTACTTAAACCCTAATCCAGAATCTAATAATAATGATCAAACTCAACTAATAACGCTATAAAATAAAGTGACATAAAACTAGCCTTATTTGATACTCGAGGAAACGATGAGGACACTCGAGTTACTTAACAACGTGAGCGTTTACGTGTATAAAATATTCATATATGTCAAATCTAGTGCTTGGTCACTTTAAATGCTAGTTGGATATTGTGTCGATGCTACGTAACCTAGATACGTCCCGAGTACTCTAGAGGAGTATACTAGCCAGGTAAGTGTCAATGCTTCGTGACTCGAACTTGACCTGAATGTTAAGGAGACACTGATGTTGTGTGACCTAGGTCTTCCTTAAGTGTTGTAAGTAAAAAAGGGTATGAGTTCTGCAATGCCGTGTGACCCCGAACTACACCTGGATATTTACTCTTTTCTTGAGTATTGCCTTTGCTCATAACTATTATGTATCATGTTTATATGTTGAATGCATGTAGTATAACTTGATTATTTTTGTGACACTGAGCTTGTGAGCTCAACATATGGAATGTGTTTCTATGCGCAGGTCAGTAGGTGTCAATTGAGGAGCTCTTCGCCAGACTTGGATTCCATACTCGACTTCTCTAGAATATGTCTCAAGAGTTTTAGAGGGCATGTACCGTCATAGACCCTTATTTGATTTTGCAGTCTTAACTCAGTATTTCGATTACTAATATTTTTGGAGACTTATGTCGAGAGCTCCCCGTATTAAACATTTATATTTTGTATTTGTCTGTTAATTAAATTTTATGGATGATACCTTCATGAAACGTTTTCAAGAAAAAAATGGTTAGTCACTCAAGTGGTTCCGTGTGATATCGTAATTCAATGATCTTTCAAGTCGAATTGGATTAGGAACTAAATTACTGATATGATATTGATTAATTAAAAAAATAATTTCATTAAATATCTTGTGTCACAATTTAATTAGTAATTAAAATAATAAATCAATATCATGTATTAATCTTTTTTTCAAATTTAAATATCTTATGCCCATCCTCGTCTGGTTTCTCTTGAAACTGAAAAAAATGAAATAAAATTAATGTTGAAATATAACGACAGAAGAGAAGAAACAAATGGGGTTAGGGTTAATTTTTTTTATAAATGGGATATTCAAAAATTGTCAAAAATGACGTAGTTTTAGGGTTAGGGCAACTAGGGTAAGGACTCCACCCTCTTTTAAATTAATACAATTTAGTCATCGTCTGCTTTACTTCGTTATTTTGTCCATATTATTGATTTTGACAGTTAATTTATGGCGTTTACATTTTGATCAGTATTTGGTTTTTTTTTTTTTGGATAATTCAATTTTTATTACCCAAAGATTAGGATCTGCATAAAAACAATCTGTTCAAGAATACAAACAGTATGTACTTACAGCATAACAAAATTTCAGCTAGTCAATACCCCATTGATTACAAAGTATAGCATTAACCCTATCATTCCTATTAATACTTATACCCGTTAGTTGGATAGCAACAATGTGTTTTACAGCATGTAGTAGTGCTTCAAAGTTACGTGAACATCCTTGGAATAGCCTCTTGTTCCTCTCCTCCCAAACATTGTAAATAAATGTTGTCCAAGCTAATTTCAAAATGGTAGTGAGCAAAGATCTACCTTTCCAAGCATCACAAGCCCAAGCTAAATGATTACCCCATGTACGTGATGTCCTTCGCATGCCATTGAGAGCGATAACTGCATTCCATATAGAAATAGCCAGAGGACATTGAATGAATAAACGATCTCTAGTTTCCATTGAGTCATTGCAAAGCACACATTTATCGTCAATATCAAACCCAAAACGTTTCAGTCTGTCTTTAGTTAGGAGTCTGTCTAATAAGGTCATCCATGTAATAATACTAAACTTAGGAATATGGAGAGGGAACTAGATCAGTTTGTGCCAAGCTACTTTTACCCCTTTGTTTCGATGAGTAGCCAAATATCTTTAATATTCTGCACACCAGAGGATAACACATGAAAAGCTTGGAGTCTCATCCTAAGTAAGCGTCGAAATGCTTAATTCATGTTTCTTTGCATAGTTCTAATTTAATCCCTAATGTAGATCATTATTTTATATACTTTAATCCCTATACTTTCTGTTATTTTATCTTAGACCCTATATATATATATAATAAGTATGAATATATAATATAGTAATATGTGTATATATTTTCCCTTATGGGTGATTCATTTTTAATTTTACTTTATTACATATATGTTTTATTTAAGGTGTCAATTTTTATTGTTACTTATGCATTTTATTTTGAATATAAGTTCTTGTTTAATATTTTAATATACATAAAATATTTAATTGTTCGATTAACCTATAGAAGATCTCTAAAAAATCTGGAGTATCCTTCTAAGGGTTATTTGAATAAAATTGATATTTTATTATTATTAGATATTTGTTTGTATTTTATGTTTTTTAAATAAACATGTTTCATTTTAAAGATATCTCTTTATATACATTTATTAAAAAAAGAAATTATTTTAATAAATAATATTTATTGTATTCATATTTACTTTAGTATCTTCGTTATTTTTTTAGATTATTTATTCATTTGTTACATTATGTGAATATTTCGTTCATCCTATACATCACTTATTAATGTTGCATTCATAAATTATGTATTTATTTTCTCGTTTTCGAAATTGATTGAAGGCAATATTGTCTTGCGTCATGGGTTAATGAAATTGCATTCAATATGACTGGATTTTAATTTCCGTTAATCCACATAGTAGGGGACACCATTTTCAAATAAAATCGAGTGAATTAAATCATTTTCATCAAGTCAAATATTTTAAAAAATATATTCACTCATTATTAAAAAAAAATAACGAAATAAAATGATCGTAATTTAAATTTTGGATTCGAATAAATAAAGTTACACTACTTAGACAACGTATAATCGATATGTATCAATTTTAGGCGTTGTGGGGGTGCTTATCATTCCCCACGCGTAATCTACTCCAGAATCCTTAAAAACGAATTTCTGGTAATACACAAACCAATTTATCTTTTAAATAATTTTTATTAAATTCGTTAAAAAGATGTTTTTTAGGTTTTCGATCTACCTAACCCAAAGGTCGATGACTATTCCAAATTTCAAAATTAAACTAAAATCTAAATTTTCTAAAATAAAATTATAATTCTTTTTAATTTACTATTTATGGAAAAATGGTTTTTACAATTACGAATCTAAAAATTCTTCTGAAGTTCAGATGAAGAAAAATTGCTAGATTTAAATCCTTTTGTGTAATAAACCAAATGTTTAAACACATCCAAATATAAAAAGCCGTTAAGAACAATAAAGTCAGAGTAAAAATTGGCTTGAGTTTTTTCTTATTTACTAAAACATAAGAAAAACAATAAACATAGAATGGTGGGTGTGCCGGAGTGGTTATCGGGCATGACTAGAAATCATGTGGGCTCTGCCCGCGCAGGTTCTAATCCTGCCGCTCACGTTTCTTAAATTTTTGCTCTTATAAAATGATTGCAAATCTTGTTGCAGGATCCAAATAAAACAAAACCATATTTTATACGAATTAACATTGAGTTGAGTTGATATAGCATCTGAAGTATTGCGAAACTATTACTTATACCACCATATAATTTACACAAACAAATCCTGATTCTCTAAAGCAATTTTCTAGTTAAAATTTGTGGATGATGTCCAGAAGATAGCAAACAACTCTCCTAAAAACATGGAATTACTCTTTTCCCCAAGGGCCAGCTTTGCTTATCTGCGTTTTCCCTAGACCATCCAACGGGGACATGTGGAGGATGATTTTCATTGGCTTCCCAAAAGATTTATCACATTAATAATCAATACAAATTCGATTAACCATCCTGCATCTCATTAACTCCACCATGTCTCTTCCATGATTAATGACTTTCAAGCTAGTACGAGGGTCGAACATAAAATCTTATGTTATGAGACCAACTTATAAAAATTTTAAAGAATGAAGAATTTATAAAATTTATGAGATGAAAACATATTATCATTAAAAATAACATAAAAAATCTAAAACATAAATGAATTTAAAAATTTTAAGGATGATTACCCACTCGCCCATCAATCCATCCATGTGAACAATGGAAACAGTAGAATATCCACAGGCACAAGTGAAAGGAAACAATGTAGGAAGTAGCCTCAAAGATAAACTAGGAGACGTATGGGGATGGAGAAAAATCCGCCGACTCTTATGCTGCGTTTCCCATTCTTTTCTCTCTCTTTTGTTTTCCTTTTAATCTTCTTCCATCGACCTGCCAGCTAACAATCCCGATGCAATCATATTATATTATATAATTTGCTAGTTTCATTACATCTATGCAATAACAACACCTGTATTTACTCAGCAGCTTTCTTGTAGGCCTTGTAGGGGAAGTTGTGTTTCAATGGCACTTGCCAAGGACCCTACCTGCTCTCTTCAATCCTCCGAGCCTTACAAATTTGATGAAGGAGGCGACTTGGAAGGGATTGTCAAGAATTTTCCGATGACTAGATCAGATTCCGACGGTTTCGTGTTCCGGCCTCCGAAGGAAGTTCACTCTTTGATCAACTTCAAAGGTTCAGTGTATGATGGTTTCGTTCATGGGACTAATTGTGGATCTCTGCTTAGCTTTGAGCAAAATGACAAGGCTCTGCATGATGCTTACTTGAAAACCATCAGTCATAAAGATGATTATTCAATGTGGGAGGGTGGTTCAGATCCGAATTATCGATGGAATACGATGAACACGAAGAGCTGTACCGATCCTCGCCTGCTTGAAGATTTTAGCTGCTTTGAAACTGCTAGCGGTTTTAGTTCCATAACAAAAGAGAACAGTGGAGATTGGTACTACTCTGAAGCAGCAGTGGTTTCTGATAGTATCCCGGAGTTACAATCACCCGAAGCAGCTGGCGTCAAGCGTCCCAATACAGTACTATTCTTCTTTTTCCATTCAATCCACATAATTAACAGTCAATTCATATAAGATAGATTCTGGTTTTAATGCCGATATATTTGGTGTTTTATAGGGAGACAGCAATCAAGCTTTGAAGAAACAATGCAGCAACGATGCAAAGAAGACGAAAACTAAGTCCGGTCCATCAAAGGACCCCCAAAGTATTGCAGCCAAGGTTTGTTGACATGAGTTTTAAGTAAATTTGGCTAAGTTTGATATCAAAGTAAGCAAAATCCGTAATGAAAATGATCATACAGAGATTGTTTCAATCTCCAGAATCGACGTGAGAGGAACAGTGAGCGGTTGAAGATACTACAAGAACTGGTACCCAATGGCTCCAAGGTACGGAAACTGAAATTTGCAAATTGCATTTATGCTAAAACTGGACACTGTGTGTATGTATCTTATTGTTCATTTGACAGGTTGATCTGGTTACCATGCTGGAGAAGGCAATTAGCTATGTCAAGTTTCTTCAGTTGCAAGTGAAGGTGAGAAATTTTCAGCTTCTAATCATTGGGGTTTTTTAACTGATCTTTAATCTAAATTAACCATTGAATATGATATCTGGCAGGTGTTGGCAACAGATGAATTTTGGCCAGTTCAAGGTGGGAAAGCTCCTGATATTTCTCAAGTTAGGGAAGCCATTGATGCTATACTCTCATCTCACAAAGACAAGGTGTAAAGGGATCAAAGTTTAAGAGACTTTATTTTAGAATAATGCTAATTGAAGGACAACACCCAGGCAATGAAAAGCCTTTTGCTTGTGTGATAATGCTGATTTCATCAAAAAGATGTTGTAATACATATTTCTTCTCTTCTTTAACTAAGATTTCCAACTTGATCACTTCCCTTTACGTGTAAACAATCTCCTCCACATCTATTAGTTAGCTCTCTGCTAGTTTGCTTATATAAGGGGACCATCCCACTCGAGATGACATTTAGCCAGGATTAATCACATGCTAATCCCACTTAAAGCGGTGCACAAAAGTTAGTTAACATTCTTTCAAAGCTCAAACAGAAATAGTTTAGCTTTCATATACACAAGATAAAGAACGTGGAGGTCTCCTACGGAAGCTGCTCTCAACCTGGTGTTGGGGGCAGCCTACTATCTTACCTCCCCCTTACCCCATACATATGGGAAAAAAGGGACAGCCATTTTTACCTGAAAAACTTAAACATCATTAGCTAGGCCTTTGAATTTTCATTTACTGTATTCTTACATCGTATAAAAATGCCTAATATTTAATCAGCCACACGTTATTATCTAAATTCGATAATTACTATATATAAAATCCGGAACAACCATCGAGATAGTTAATTAAATCTGCCAAGTAACTTTAGACACAAGGCACCTTAATTTGATATTGTCAACCTTTTTATTGCCAATCAAGTGGTGTAAAGAATGTTTGGCTTGCGGCTTAATCCAGCTGCTACATGGTGTTGAGATGGAAATCACATGCCCAACCCCATCAAAACAGGTTTACCCTTTCCCACAAAAAAAAAACTCGAATATTAGATTATGACCCAAAGGCTGTTTATTTGTAAGATTTACAGTGATGCTTTTCTTTTACTTAATTTGCATTAAGCTGTATTATTTGCAATCTCCTAATTAAACACCCAAAAGTTGCTTTCAAATTTTCTTTTTGTTTTCCCATTTGACCAATGCCAATCATTCATTTCCTGTCTTTCAAACCACCAAATTATAATTCTCGACTATCAAGTTGAGCCCAAAAACAAAATAAAATAAAAATGGAATTCAACCATAATAATTTCAGTTTTCCACCTATTCAATTGATTTTTTTATTTTATTTTTTCCAATTTGAGATTTTATATTATAGGTATTGATTCATTTTCCACAAAATAAAAATATCTCTCTCACACACGTATAATATTTGCCTCCAATATTGCATTATGACCTGAATTCCATAAATATAAAGATAAGATATTTTAATATATTTGAGAATATATATTATATTGGGATTGGGAGTTTAAAAAGAAGATATTTTATCCCAGAAGCTGCATTTGGTCATCATCATTAAATGGCCATGTGATTTAAGCAAAAGGAAGGGTGGACTCTCTCTATATATATATTCATCGAGTTTATATTATAAGGAACCGAGATTAAGTACTGGCTTTCCATCTTGAAATCTTTTATAAACGTCACAAGCAAGCATGCATGCATATGTAGGTTGACCACGTGCAAGATAAATGCCTGATATGGAATTGAAATAATAAATTTATAAGAGCGAGTTGGTAATAGACAATTATTTAACCGATTTTGTCCCCTTTTTCTTTCCTAAACTTTTCATTAATGTAAAATTGTCGAAACATTAGCGGTGGTAGCGAATTCACGCCGATAATGGAATGTTATTATCGTTATTATCTCATGATTGTGAAAAAAATAAAATTAGAAAAACAATCCAAAGTGAAATGAACATACTCCCCCTAAAATATAAAAAAAAGCAGAAAAAGCTAATTGAAAAGAAGAAAAATTTGAATAAATCTGCAAAACTACTACAAAACAAAGACCAATCAAGATTCAAAAGAAATACCGTATTGAAAATCCCAAGGATTCGAAGCAAAATAAGAGAGGGATAATCGAATCGAAGGTAAATCTTAAAAATCCATAGGCCAAATATGCAGATTGAGACTAAGTTTGGCTTTTTAAGTTATCTTTTGGGGAAGAAAACCCCATAGAAACAAACTAAGAAGAGATTACATCCAATTTCTCATTTTATTAGGATTAATGGCAACAAAAAATGAGGATTAGGGGAAGAAAAAAACCTATAGAAGCAAAGTAGTTTGGCAAGCAACAAAAAATCATGTGGGATTTTTGAGACTGTAGAATAAAGAAATTTGAGAGGGACTGAAGAGATTTTTTTTTATTTCTTCTTCCAGGTAGCATGAATGAAGAAATAAAATAACAATAAGGGTTAATCTTAGCCCAAAAGGGTTAATCTTTACTCGTTGTCATATTTATGTTAATGTTGTGATCATGGACCTTGATTTGAAAAATATTTATATTAGTCACTTGTTTATTTGAATAAAATTTATATTTTATGTTTCTGATCCAATATCCTATTTTGTATTTAATTTAGCCACTAACCTTAGTTTAGTATTCAATTTAGCCAATAACCTTAGTTTAGTATTTGGTTAAACTATATTATATATGTCATTTTTACTTAGAAAACATTCTAAAAATCATTAAAATGATTTATTATAATTATAATTATAATTACTATGTTTTAAGATAAGTTGCTTGAAATTTAAAAAACTCACGACCGTGACACCCGCAGTGAACGCGATGGCATCCGTTATCTCCGCTATCGCAATAAACGTGACACGACAGTGAACGCTATTTAAATCCCTGATCTTTGGCATATTCATGGCTAGTCTTTAGCCATGGAAACTTCTAGTCGGTTTCTATTCTTTATTCTCACAAAAATAGTAAATCATGAGCCGAAGTGTCTTCTTCAAGCGAGTCATCCCCACTCGAAAATCAATAAACACCCCCAAACGGTATTGAAAAAGCTCATGAAGGGTGGTTCTCAATCAGTGTCATTATGGGTGTTATAAAATCAGGTCGTAGATTTCTGTTTAGCAAATATGACAAAAGACAGATGTTCTTACATTCCCTTAACCCGAATCTCCCTCACCCCCTTGGTTTCCCCCTCACTCTCTTCTGAACCCAACCCACTTCTCTCAAGCCACCAATGTGGACACCCTCTGTTGGTCCAAGAAAGTCTCAAGTAGGATTAATTGTATTAATGTAGGACACTGTATTAATGAATCTCTTCTCATGTAGGGTCTCGGTCGAATCCTATATCTTATAAAGTGTGGAAGCCCCGGTAAGAAGTTAGTGGTGCAGGAGACTGAATGTCGACCCTCAAGAACTGAGAGTTCCAGAGGTTATGCTTGTTGAGTTGAAAGGAATAAAATTCCAAAAGAGGAAAGGTTCTATCTCTCATAGGAGAAAGAGATTGTGGATTCTACTATGGAGGTGGAAAAAATATCCCATTCACCAAAAGGCTGGCACATACCTCCTTAAAGTCTCCAAACGGAAAACTGTTGAAAATAATACCTCATAAATTTTATTATCCAACTGAACTTCAATTTATAATACACATTTCAAGTAATTACACAATAACTAAAATTTAACTGCTACTAACTACCTCTAACAACCTATCTAACAAACTAACTAATATTTGTTATCTCAACACTCCCCCTCAAGTTGGTGGGTGAAAAACATTTAAAACCCTCAACTTGGCTATCAAGTACTCGTATTGTTGAGTACCAAGCACCTTGGTCAAGATGTCTACAGGTTGTTCCCTTGAAGATATGTGTTTAGCTGTAATAAACTCTTCTTGAATCTTGTCTCTAACAAAATGACAACCAATTTCAATGTGCTTCGTCCTCTCATAGAAAACAAGATTAGAGGCAATCTGTAATGCTGCTTTGCTGTCACATAATAACTTGACAGATTGATTATGTTTCACTCCTAGCTCATTTACCAACCCACTTAGTCAAACTAACTCTGTTGTGGTCATAGCCATACTTCTATACTCAGTTTTTGCTGAAGAACGAGCCACCGTGTTCTGCTTTTTTGACTTCCATGAGATCAAGGAATTTCCAAGTTTTATACAATACCCTGTTACAGATTTCCTTGATATTGGAAAAGTTGCCCAATCAGAATCACAGTAGGCAATCAAGCCACATGCACTAAAAGAATCTAGCAAAATTCCCTGCCCTGGATTCTTCTTAACATACCGCACAATTCTCAGGGCTGCTTTCATACGCACCTTTCCAAGCTGATGCATAAATTGGCTTAGATGTTGTACTGAATAGGCTATGTCAGATATAGTATGAGTTAAGTAAATAAGTCTTTCTATCAAGCTTTGAAACTGTGTTTTGTCAAACATATATTCTTCATTTTTTTTGAAGCTCTTACTGTACGAAGCAGCCAATAAATTATTATTATGCTCCAAAGGTGTTAAAGCAGGTCTTGCTCCCCCTGCCTTGATATCTTTTATTAATTCTAGAGCATACTTGCGCTGATTTAAAACAATTCCTTTTTTTTATCTTAACACTTCAAGCCCAAGAAAGTATCTCAATTCACCCAAGTCTTTCATCTTGAACTTAGAATTCAGTATACACTTGAGCTCTTCTATCATAACAGTATCGCTGCCAGTAATCAGCAAATCATCTACACACACAAGCACAATGACCAACTTGCTTGCTACTCGCCTTGTAAACATCGAGTAATCGTGACTACTTTGTTGAAATCCTGCTAATATAAGTGCTTCAGACAGCTTCTTATTCCATTGTCTATAAGTCTGCTTGAGTCCATACAAAGACTTTTGCAGCCTACAAACCATATGTTCCCCCTGGCTAGAAAAGCCTTCAGGCAACTGCATATAGACCTCTTCAAAAAAATCTCCTTGAAAGAATGCATTGTGAACATCCATTTGCCATAATGGCTAGTCAAAGATTGAAGCAAGAGCCAAAATCAATCTCACAGTGGTGAGTTTAACAACAGGAGAAAAAGTTTCCACATAGTTAACACCCTTCTTTTGATTGTACCCTTTGGCCACCAACCGAGCCTTGAACCTTTCCACCTCACACGAAGCATGATACTTAATTCTATAAACCCACTTGCAACCAATGGGAATTTTACCAGATGGA